TCGAGCTACAAACAAAACTGAGAAAGAGACTTACCGTGGCTACGTGCCTCCAATCGACCCTTTCATAGTTCCACCCAAGCACGCTTAGAGTACGGTCTCTGTAACACAAGATCTTCAATCCATTATTTAAGGTCCAGGATTGGTTTCGACATCTAAGCCACAACTGTATTAGAAAAGAAATAGTGGATCAAGAAAATGAAAGGCGGCCCCATATTAAAATGCTCGAAAGGAAGTAAATACTCACGACTCATATTCCATTTCTAAGGAAACGGCATGTGAGCGACATAAATCAGGTCCGAGGTTTTGACTCGAACAAACCGGCCCATCCAACCTCGATCACGAGTTTCTTCTATACTTGAGAATGGTGTTTTAGTGGCTCATTGAGCTAACTTGATCAACCCTCCTCGATAGAGTCGGGGGCTATCAAGGCGCATAAGGTGATCGAGGGTGAAAAGACACCCCTCGATTTTGCTTGAGAAGAATCGGAAAAAAATCACTATTCTCCAAAACGAATGATGAATCTGGCCAATGGTCACGTCGTATTATTTACAAAAAGCGACGATTACTGGATCTAATGAACCCAACGTGAAAGGGTAAGTATAAATACTTAAGAACCCTTCCACGTATGTAGTAATTGATTCTTCGAGTGATGGAACTATCACGTGTTTGTCGCCCCAGCTACATTCTTTTTTTACCTTTTTCGAGAATATTCTCAGTGATTGAACGTTGGTACCTCGAGACCGGCTCACATCGACCCAGTACCGAAGATCTTTTTTCAACTTTGAAATTAATGACGGTCGAACACCCTACCGGAACGAACTCCTCGGTGCGGGGCTCCGCCGCATCCTCACCTCCGGTAGGCCGCGATGAAGAAGCGAACTCTTTCCGCGGCATCGTTTTGGAGGTTTTCACCATTAATAAATGAATGAAATGAGAATTGGGTTTGTTTGTGATATAAAGTATATGAAGTAGAAGGATTTTTGAAGAAGATACAATAGTGGAGGAAAAACCTTTGAGTAAAAAGTTTGGATGTGAAAAAAAGTTTGAATATTTGTAGGCCTCATAATGACGGTTGAGAATCATTAGTGGTAGGGTGGCCATATTTCGGTCCGAACCGAAGAAACCGATCGAACCGAAAATATTTTTATTTCGGTTTCAGTTATTCGGTTCTTTCAGTCGGTTTCAGTTTAAAATTTTAAAATTTCAGTTTTTCGGTTCGGTTTTCGGTTAGTAATTTTTTTGGTTATGTTAACCGAAAAACCGAATTATTAGCATAAAGATTATTTAAGTTATATATAGGCTAAACCTATAGGTAATAATATAGTCCTAATTTTGAAGTCTATCAAAGACCCAATCCAAACTTACCATTTTATTCTAACTTATCGAAATTTCGAAAGAAAACCAACAAATTTATAAGTCCAATTATTATAAAGAGAGAGCCTAATATGATAATGTTCAAATCGAAACCGATTAGAAATAAATCGAACCGAAATTAGAAAATCGAACTGAACCGAACTTATTTCAGTTTGGTTTCGGTTACTACTTTTACAAAATCGAAAACCAAATAACCGAACCGAACCGACCGAATGCCTACCCCTAGTTAGTGGCTGACCAACGACTGATAACCATTTAATATCTTGGTAAACTCGACCGATGAGACATTTGTCACATACGTCATAATCGGACTCGATGCAGGCATCAATGTATATCTAGTGAGAAGTTGAAAAATTATATCATTTCTCGCCACATTCTTTCCGAGAAACGAGGGGACTATCTGTATACGGTCAAAACCGAGCTTGCCCTTCATATAATTCATCAAGATTGAAACATAATGGACCGAAGGTCGTCATTATAATATCGAGGTACGATGAGAAGCCGGGTTATCGAGCTTAAGACCCAGACCGATCAATACTGGGCCCGAGTTAGTGTCGAGCTCGAGTCAGTATCGAGCTTGAGTCAATATCGAGCTCGAGTCAATATCGAGCTATAATATGAAGTGAGGTTATCAAGATCGAGAGCCAAAGATCGATCAATGCAGAGCTCGAGTTAATATCGAGCTCGAGATCTAGAGACCGACCACTACCAAGACCGACCAAGATCGAGCTAAGAGACAACAAAGCCGTTATAGCCGTACTAAGGGAGAGAATCTCGGCAGAAATCAAGAAAAAACTAATTGATTAATTTATCATGGGATCTCCAATATATATTTTTAATTATATCCAAATTAGGATTCTTTCACTATATGAAGAGTGACTTATCATTTTTGTAAAGGGGACACATTGAACATTGAGACGTCAATACATTCTCACTTCTCAAGGATGATTGATTTTATAGAGAAATATAGTAGAGATTATTCTTTTTTGGGCTTTGGACATTGATTCATCTTGCGTGTTTGTAAATCATTCTCTACTCAATTTGGTTTGTATTTCATTCCTTTTTTACAGTTAATATTCGATATATTTCTACCTATTTTTGCGATTTGTACCAAGTTATACCACGTATTCTTAGAACTACGTATAAATTCAACTCTATCCGTTTTTCGGGTAAACAGTCTTGGAATAACCGGATTGAGCCAAAAAGAAAGAGAACACAATATTATAAACTAACTTTTACTTTCAAAAAACATTTCCATTTCATTATTTCTTTTCCGCGTAAAGAGTAGAGTAGAGATCATTAGCTCTAAAAATAAGCCAACTGATTCATAATTACTAAGTTTGAATTTTTGTCTTAATAACTTGCTGCGTATGTCAAAAAGTGTTTTACTGCATATCAATTTCGAAATACTTTTACATATATACTTGAACGAATATCTCAACGTTATACATCTCTCTTCTTTGCAACGTTAATCAACATGCATGCTTTTAGAATTAAACATTTCCTTTTACTTAGACAATTCATATTTTCTTAGGTGGGGCAAGTTATAAAAAATATCACCCCTGACCATAAAAAAAAAATAAAAAATTGTGCGTGGTGTCCTTCGCTTGCCTGATATTTGATCACTTTAGTCCCTTTATAAAATTTAACTTATTGTGGCAAGTTACTTTTCAATTATTTTAGATTACCAATCATATCTATTAAAATTAGATTATAGTTATATGCAATTACTATATAAATGATTAACTATTCTATATACTATTCTTGCATAGTACTTAGACTATTTACAAAAATTTCCAAGATTATCTTAATACACCAATATGCTTCTTCAAAATACAGTTTCCAAAGTTTCATTTATCGTATTAAATTACCAGCAAAAGCTAGTACTAGTGAAAACAATCTAAACAGAAATTCCTGGCTTCTTGCAAACTTGTCTAGCACCATTATATATATAAAGGGATCCTTTAGTTTGAAGACAAATTATACATGAATTATAATACATTTATTAGTAATAGAAGAATTAATAGTATAGGAATTAATAATACAAGAATTGTCTCTTGTTGGATATTTGGATCATTGCAGTAAAATTGATTATACAAGATATGATGTAATGTATTCGTTTATTTTTTTCCAGCTAATTAAAAGCAATAAGCTTACAATAATATCATTTGTCCTTCATTTGACTTCTAATAAGAAGATTGTAAAAATTTATTATACAAGACTCAAAATACAAACCAAACATTAGTTTTGATTACAAGGAAGGTAATCTGCTGTAGCCTCGTGGAGATGTCATTGTAAGTACCTTACCTGTAGCGCATTAGTTTTCTGTTAGGGTTTATACTAGACAGTGGAAGAAACAAGCACTAATATTTGTGTTTCTTCTTTTCAATTACTCACCTGCCATATAGCATTATATATAGCATGAATGTGGTAATGTTAATTTCAACATCCTCATCATCAAAAGTTGTGGTGGATTATAAATACTATTCTATTTTTAATTGGAGATTTTAAGTTTGAATTCTATATATGAAATCGTCTTTTGATAACGAGCGTTTTATCCCAAATATGAAATTTTCCTGCTCAAATTCGAATTAGCCTAACCCCAAGATAAATAACGAATATCAGATGAAAAATAAAAAAATATTAATTTCAACATCCTCGAAGGTTGAGCAAAGACCAATAATCTTGGATAATGTAGAAAAAAGAAAACCTTATGTCTGTGTAGGGTGCAGTACACAAAGACTTTTTTGAGCCCAGCATTTATCTGAAGACTTTAGAACATGCTGTCCATTAATATCCAAGGCTCGAAGCTCCTTTTTTGAACTTTGTAACTTCGTGGGTCCACTACGTTTGACCATTTCTGCTCTTTATAAGATTTTTAACATTTGCTTTTGGATGATTACAGGCTTTTGCCACTCTTACTATTCTGTTTAGTTTTTGGATTCTTGCAACAATAAAGTTATTTATGTAACCTATAAATGATGAATTCGAACTTTGAAAGCGATCACTGATATTTATATTAGAATAAACTGTTTATATCACACCTTTTTAGTGTGGGCTTCTACCAAAAGCTATATGAATATGAGACACTTTCTACACCCGACTATTATTAATACTTGAATTCAGTAGTAAGAAGCCATAGATCGATGAACCCTAATTTTGTCTATTGTAATACACTAACTGATATATACAAGCTAGGCCAGGTAGCTTAATTTATATTTGGGCCTAAATACAAGTTGGGCCTGTTACTTAACCAGGATGAGCCCTACTACTATTTTAAACTCCAACACCCCCACCACCCCCAAGCTGGAACGACTGGCCATTCCAAGCTTGGCAATGAATCCTTGTTGCTGCACACCAAGTAAGGATTTAATAAAAATATCGGCAGGTTGAGTAGAATTAGAAATAGAGTGAAGAGAAATAATACCAGTAGCTAATGTATTCCGGACGAAGTGACAATCCACCTCGATGTGCTTAGTACACTCGTGAAAAATAAGATTCTTGGCTATGTAAATAACAGCTTGATTGTCACAATATACCTGGTCTAGACAAAGATTATCAATACCAAGTTCACCCAACAAACGAACTAACTAAGTAATTTCACCTACCAACATTCTGAGGGTTTTTTACTCAGCCTTTGCAGAAGATAGTGTTATGGTGAGTTGCGTCTTGGATTTCCAGGAGACAGGACAACCACCAAGTAACAAGAGAAACCCCAAAACGGATCTTCTATTATCAGAACAACTAGCCCAATCAGAATCAGAGTATCCTTTTAGAGAAAAATCAACATCACTCTTCAAGAAGAGCCCCAAATCAGAGGTACCAGCCAAATATCTCAGTACATGATAACCAACCTCTAAGTGAGGCACCATAGGAGCAGACATAAACTGACTGAGGTGCTGGACTATGAAGTAAATATCAAGTCGAGTATGCTGCAAATAATTCATCTTACCAAATAATTATCTGTAAATGGAAGGGTAAGGACCAGATTCAGCTGATAGTTTAACATGAGGATCCAATGTAGACAAAACTGGACTAACAACAGAACAGTTATATTCTTGGAGAAGATCAGTAGTAAACTTATGCTGGCCAACCAAGAAACCATGGAAGCTTAAAAATTTCAAGACCAAGAAAATATTGAATTTCTCCAAGATCCTTAATTTTGAACTGGTCATCAAGAAAGTATTTTATGGGCAGTAATTTCAGACATGTCATCTCCAGCTACTAATATGACATCCACATATACAGCTACAATAGTGAGATGAACCCCTGATAAGTTCCTAAACAAAGAATAGTCATTTTAGACTAGGCTGAAAACCCTTAGACTACAAAGTTATGAAAAGCTTAGCATACCACTGCCTAGAGGCTTGTCTCAACCCATAGAGAGACTTATTTAGTTTACAGGCTGAAGAAGCAACAAGAATAGAATTAGAAGATCTGACAGAAAGACCTTGAGGAATTTTCATGAAAACTTCCTCATCTAAATCTCCATGTAGAAAGGCATTACTCACATCAAGTTGGTAAACAACCCAACCTCTCTTAGCAGCTACAAATAAAACGCATTTAACAGTAGTCATCTTAAGTACATGAGAGAAAGTCTCATTAAAGTCTACACCCTCCTGTTGAGTATCCCCCCTAATTACTAACCTTGCTTTATATTATTAATAGACCCATCAGCCCTTTGTTTAACTTTGTACGTGCACCTATTTTCAAGGTATGGCCTTTATACCAACAGAAAGAGGGACTATGTCCCAAGTGTTGTTGGATTCCAAGGCTTGAAATTCCTTAATCATAGCCTCTTGCCAAGCAGGTTGAGAGGCAGCTTGATGATAGAACTTAGGTTCTTGCAACTAATCTTCAGAAGACACAGAAAGCACCAGAGAAGTAGAAGCAGTATTGCAAACATAATTAGGATAATAGATAGCAAATGAGAGTTCACCTCATAGCTTTTTGATCCTATTGAAATAAGAGAAAATGTTGGGTGTTCCTTGAGAGATAGATGGGATTTCCTTTCGAATCTGATATATCTTGATACCACTGGACTGTCCAAACCTTTTTGCAATTTTATTCCACAACCTTTCAGCAGATTCAGTATACATAATAGTTTCCCTAATCTCTCGATACAAACTATTAAGTATCCAAGCTACTACTATATCGTTAGATCTGGTCCAAGGCTCAAATAGAGGAAAATTAGTGCTAGGTTTGGGAATTGTACCTTTAATCATCCCGAATTTGTTCTTACAAGATAAACCTAGTAGCATGCCCCTTCGCCAACTCCCATAACTAGTACTATCAAATATGGTAGAAACCAACACCGTACCAGGTGAGTCAGATGACAAAAGATACAAAGGGGAAAAGGGATGTACAGTAGTATCATCACTACCAACGGAACAGTCGACAAGAGTCGAAGTCGAACCCATAGCAATTTACTTAGTGTGATGACCCAAAAGGTCATCTTATATTTTAGAACTCGATTCTGCACTCTTAAGCCTTAAAAATCTTATTTTTACCCTCCTCTATTTTCGTGCGCAGTCCGAGCGTGTTTCCAGAAAGCTTTTATGCTGAAAATTGATGAAAATAAGAATTTAGCCTTAAAAGTTGATTTTAGTTGATTTCAGTCAACATTTTTGGTAAACGAGCTCGGATCCATATTTTGACTATCCCGGTGGGTCCGTATCAAAATATGGGACCTGGACGTATGCCCGGAATCGAATTCGGAGGTCCCTAGCTCGAGTTATGAATTTTTGATAAAAATTAAAAGTCTGAAATTTAATGGTCTTTAAGAATTGATTGATGTTTGGCATTGTTAGTACTGGATCCGTATTTTGGTTCCGGAGCCTAGTACAGCTTCATTATAATATTTAAGACTTATCTGTGAAATTTGGTGAGAAACGGGGTCGGTTTGACGTGATTCAGACGTCCAGTTGAGAATATAGGAATTTTAAAGTGTTCTTGAGAATTTCATTTGATTTGGTGCTAAATTCATAGTTCTAGGTGTTATTTTGGCGATTTGATCATGCGATCAAGTTCGTATGATATTTCCAGACTTGTGTGCATGTTTGGTTTGGAGCCCCGAGGGCTCGGGTGAGTTCTGGATAGGCAACGGGAAGTTTGGACTTTGGAAAATCAGGTTTTCTGCAGATTCTGGTGTTTTGACATGTCCTTCTTCGCGAAGAGTAAGCTGGTGAGGCTGAAATTTTCTTATTCGCGAACGCGAAGGCTTGGTCGCGAACGCGAAGCGATGGGGGCGTTACCCTTCGCGAACGCGACCAGCTCCTCGCGAACGCGAGCATGGTCTCGCGAACATGGGAGAGAGTCAGCGATCTTTCATCACGAACGCAAGCATGGTCTCGCGAACGCGAAGGCCAGGGGGTAACCATCGCGAACGCGAGCAAGGTCTCGCGAGCACGAAGGCTTGGCAGTCGATACTCTTCGCGAACGCGACAGTGCCCTCGCGAACGCGATGCACACTGTCACCCAGTGCATAAAACAGAATCAAACGGGACTTAAGCGATTTCTTCAACTGTCACGACCCCAAATTCCCTCCGTAGGATGTCGTGATGGCACCTAGTCTCTAAGACTAGGTAAGCCTATCAATGCGGAATAATAATAAATATCTAAAATAAATAAACTACAATTCAAACAATTTCAACTCCCAAAATCTGGTAGAAATAAGTCACAAGCTTCTAAGAATTTATTCTTTATGTCTCTATACATCAGAGTCTAAAGCAAATAAGGAAGACAACATAGTAANCTCTGATACCAACTTGTCACGACCCCAAATTCCCTCCGTAGGATGTCGTGATGGCACCTAGTCTCTAAGACTAGGTAAGCCTATCAATGCGGAATAATAATAAATATCTGAAATAAATAAACTACAATTCAAACAATTTCAACAATCAAAACCCGATAGAAATAAGTCACAAGCTTCTAAGAATTTATTCTTTATGTCTCTATACATCAGAGTCTAAAGCAAATAAGGAAGACAACATAGTAAGATAGAAGGGGACTCCGGAGTCTGCAGACGCTAGCAGATATACCTCGAAGTCTCCTCGTATAACTAGTTTACTGATGCATGGTCTAATAAGATGTACCTGGATCTGCACAAAAAGATGTGCAGAAGCGTAGTATGAGTACACCACAGCGGTACCCAGTAAGTGCCAAGCCTAACCTCGGTAGAGTAGTGACGAGGTCAGGTCAGGCCTTGCTGGAGAATAAATAATGGCATGGTAAATATTTAAACAATATTATAAGATAAAATGACAATGAAAATGAATCAAGTAGTATGTCACAT